CCTCCCCAAAAATAAGCCCTCCCCAAAAATAAGCCCTCCCCCCAAAATATTGCAATACAGCAGCAGCTATAAGGTGACCATGCTCGCCGCCTCCTGCACCTCAAAAATAATGAGACCTCCTCGAAAATAAGGCAAAGCACTTATTTTGGGAGTCAAAAGAAAATAAGACCCTGTCTTATTTTCGGGAAAACACGGTATTTGCAGCTTGCTCCTGACTTTATTTCTTGACCAGCAAAGTCCCAACTATTTTTATGAATAGCACTGAGCGCCCCCCCCCTCTCTCTCACACACACGCACACACTTCACCAAAACCCCAGGACTGTCCCAATTAAGTCCAGTCACAAGCAGACCAATGCTAGTCCACAGAGCAATGGCCGATCAGTCCACAAGGCACTTGAAAGTTTCCCAAAATTTGCCACCAGGCAAAATTAAATCCACAACACAAGAGGGTTCACGGGACAAGCCAAGTCCAGAGTTCACAAAGCCTGATCCAAATCAAGGCACGGTGTCAATCCAAAGGAAGGCAAGAATCACAATGACTAGAAAATGCACAGCTAGGAAATGAACACCTTGTTCCCACCATCGTTTCTATCTGTCTGCTGTGCTAAATAGCCAGCTTCCGGTGCAGCCCATCAAGAAGTGTGAGGCTGCTTCCTTGCAAATAATCTGGTTGACCTTCTCTGCTCCTGCCTTTTCTCTGCCCTATGTGTTCTTGGATTAGCTGCAGCAGGCAGCTCCTCTTCCTCCTCGCTGATCAGCTGCAGCTGCATGCTTTCCCTACCTGAAGCCTCAGGGCTGTCCTGCTGCAGCTGGACAGTGAGGAGGAAGAGGAGCTCAGCCAAATCCCTCTCAGATGGCTGCTTGGAGCCATTAACCAACTCCCTTCCAGATGTGTGCAGAACTGGTCCATCTTCTCCGAGCTGACACCTGGAGAGATACATGGGGAAGTTGTCGCATTTCCTTAGATGTGCTTTAGCGACCTTGAAAGATGATGCAAAGCCATGTAAAGTGACCTTCTCCTTTTTCTTTCATTTTCTTTCTCTCAGGCCTCTGGAATAAAGAGTAAATATTGCTACTTGAGTCATCTGTTCGATTGAAATAATACATCTTGTTGTTGTTTTCTTGACACAAGGAGGCCAAGCTAGTTTTGAGATTCTTACTGCGGTTCTGATAGTATTTACAGGAAGTTACAAGATGGCTATCATTCAACACCTGAATCTGCTTTATTTCCCACATGGGCATCAAAATCAAAATGTTACACTAGGTTTTCCCAACCTGGTGCCCTTCAAATGTTGCACTGTAATTCTCATAATCTCCTGTAAATGTCACAGCATCTGCTAGCAGCAAGACATAGTATTTCAAAGTACTGGCAAAAAGAACAATATTCTTACACTTGCGGCCTGGGGAGGAAAAAAAAAGGATAAACATTATAGTAAGGAAAACAGTAAAAGCTCCTTTGTGAGAATCCAGGACATTTTAATCTAACGGCTATTTTTGCCAGCTTCAAGAGTAAAATGCATATAGTTTATGACAGAATGCTGGACCCTAAGATAAATCATGCTGCAAAATGCATTTGCTTGATGAATTTGTTCCATTTGGTATAGATTTTGAATTTATATCTTATGATAAATTGAGATTAGAATTTGCAAATGTTGCAAGAACACTTCGAGGTAGCCAAAATTATGAAGTAGAAAGTTTTTGTTTTTAGATTACAGATCTATCCCCTTTATCACACCAGATAGCCATAGGCAGATGTGTCGTGGTGTCTTAGCCCAACAGCAAATAATAAATTGCCGAAATTTATTATTGTCTACCAACAGAGTCTGAGATAACTCTAAACAGTGCAAATACTGAAATTAAAGCAATTGCAACATCATAATCATCATCGTTTTAATGCAAAATTCCAAAATCAATACAGGTAGTCCCCAGGTTACGAGTGTTCCCTTAGCGAACGTTCGAAGTTACATGAAAAGCACCCCCTAGCATTTGCAAACAAGGCCCAAAACAACAAATCTTGCAGCATCGCACCAGTTGTTCACCCTCACAAACAACCACAAAGGCTCTGCAATGTTCGTCCGGCACATTGTCAGCCGAAATGGAGCTTCTGAGGGTAGGATCCACCCCTCAAAAGCCCCATTTGGGAGTCCAGAGACCTTGCCTGGCCCGTTGCTGGCCAAAATGGAGCTTCCGAGAGGATTATCCAACCCCCAGAAGCCCCATTCTACCCTCCGAGGGCCTCCCCCGGCCTGTTGCAGGCCGAAATGGAGCCTCCGGGAGCTGAGATGCCTTGGGTGGTCTTAGGCAGGTGGCCTGTTCCATCAGTAGGCCACCCCATGGCCTTCCCCACCCTGAAATACTTCATGTGCTCTTAACAAGTCTCGCATTCAATTAGCGAATGTGTGGGCAAAAGTAGAGAGTGATCTTGTTCAAGGTCCAAGATTCACTCCCACTAATCCTCACGTTACAAATGGAATGGGTAGGCTCCGCTACATTCGTAACTCAAGGACTACCTGTAGCAGCCCTGATCTGCAGCAAAAAAACCACCACCAAAGGCCTTCTGACATGGCCCATTTGATAAGCTTCCCTTTTCTGATTAGCTTTCTCTGTGCTCATGTGTCTCTCTCTCTCTCTCTCTCTCTTTTTTTGGGGGCAATGCAGTAGATGGAGCTTGGACTGAATGGAGCAAGTGGTCAGCCTGTAGCACCGAGTGCACGCACTGGAGGAGCCGGGAATGCATGGCTCCATCTCCCCGTAATGGAGGCAAGGACTGTAGCGGCGTCCTGCTTGATTCCAAAAATTGCACCGATGGGCTCTGTATGCAAAGTAAGTTCAACCTGCAGAGGCTGGGAAAAAGAGGGCTAATTTCAAGAGTCAGAAATGTTCGAGGTGATGATTGAGTTCTTTTTAAGACTTTGTAAACTGTGAGGCGCCTTCTGAAGGCGTGTCTGGGAAGATTGGTAAGACGCGATTGCTGCATTTGTCTGCTCCCAGCTATTTTTAATGTTTTAGTCTAAACTAGTCCTTCGACCACAAATTGCTACGGCATTTATAGGATAATATTCATGCTTGCAAATCTGGAACATTATATACTTATAGAGGAGTAATGGGTTGCTATTTATTTTACTACCAGTTCGCTTGTGCGATTGTGCGATGCTTCTGTGCATGCGCAGAAGTGTCCGGGTGGGTGGGCAGAGCCTCCCGCCACCGACACTACTGGTTCACCCGATCCTGGCAAACCAGCAGCAACCCACCTCTGTTACAGAGAAGTGATGGGGTATAGATTCCTACTGAGTACTTTGTGGCAGCAAGTTTGAGTTCATTCTACATTCTGCATTAAACAAGCCAATTCTACCAATTTTTTAGGGAATCATTTCAGAACTTTTTTGATGGATTGGGATTTCAAGTTGGAACAATTTGTAAGGATTTAGGATCCTTTGGGATCGAGCTGTGGATATTGAAAATCAGGGAAAACAAATTTCACGTATCTTGGTGCTGAGCTAGCAAATGCTTGGAATGAAAGTCTGCATCATTCAAAATAATTCCATCTTCTTCCTTATAAAGAGAGTCCTTTGGTTACGACCATAATGAAGCTTACCCATTCTGGTTGTAGGTCATAGCAATTTTTAAATGGGGAATTCTATGGCAGTTGTCGTAAAAGAAGCCCTGTGGTCTTCTTTGAACCCTGTGGTTGTTAAGTGAACCTCGTGTTGTTAAGTGAACCAATGGTTCATTGTTGATGCAATTTTGCCAAAAACTGCCAGTAGCTGCCTGTTTTTGGCAAAATCATCATCAAATATGGCCATGTGACCATGGGGGGGGGGAGTTGTCCGTCACAACTTCAGATCCAAGTTACCTTTTTCGGGTGGGCCGTAACTTCGAATAGTCACTAAGGACTGGTTATAAGTCAAGAACTACCTGTATTAGACTATTTCATTAAAAATCAACTTTTGTGAGATCTACTGACTAATTTTCTTCTCTGAGATACATCATTTTAAAAAAACCAAGAAAATGATTGAGAATCAGTAGTGAAAATTAGTGAATAAAATGCCTCTTCTTCTTGACCAATTTTGAGTCACAATCTTGAAGGTTAATATTCTACAAGCAAATGGAAGTATCACATTTGATATATTTGGCCTTCTATTTAACATTCCTTAATATTAATGCAGGCAGAAAGACTATTAGATAGACCTAAATGCTGTTTTAAGAGAATAGCAGGCATTTCATCTGAAAATAATGTATCAGTTTTGTTTTTTAACCTTTTCGATGTACAAAACTATTTCTGCCTTAGGTCCCAGATCAAAGGATCAGGAATAAGCGATAATATATTTATTTGGCCGGTTAGTTTCAATGAGTGTCTGAAATTCTCAGTACAGGAAGTCCTCGACTTACAACCAGAATTGAGTTGAAAATTTATGTTCCTAAGTGAGACATTTGTTAAGTGAATTTTGCCCCTTTTTAGGACTTTGCTTGCCACAGTTGTTAAGTGAATCATTGCAGTTGTTAATTAGTAACCCGGTTGTTAAGTGAACTTGGCTTGCCCATTGACTTTGCTCGTCAGAAAGTCGCCAAAGTTGATCACATGACCCCAGGACACAGCAACCGTCATGAATATGAACCCATTGCCAAGCATCTGATTTTTGATCCCAGGACCATGGGGATGCTGCAATGGTTGTTAAGAGTGAAAAACAGTCGTAAGTCACAGTGCCGCTGCAACTTTGAATGGTCACTGAATGAATTGTTGTAAGACAAGGATTATATGTACATCCCAGTAATTAATGTTACTGCTTTTCCAGCTTACACTTCGACAGCACAAAGAATGTTGTTAGGCAGCTGCAGCAAATACTTACTTCAGTATTATAGTCCTTTAGGGCTTCAGGGTTTATCCCAAAAAGGATGCTGTTGGTCAGTATCCTCTGGCACATTTACAGATGTTCCATAATCTCATTGTAAACCAAGCCAGTAGCTGGTCCGTCACAAAAAAGCAGCGGGCTAAGTAAGCGTTCTATAAAAAAAAAAAAGCTTATAGCTTTTGTATGGTCCTAATCCATCTGTTCCAAATAAAATCGGGAAGAACAGAAGAGCCAATATATTTATTGCTCCCATTTGAGAAATACGAATAAATTACCTGAGGAAGCAAAAGAGCAAACTTTGCTTCTGTAATGTCTCTGGTTGGTTGGTTTTTTAGGAGCAAACTTTCAAGACATAGGTGTATTGTTTTCCTGGTGTGTAGGTGCTGCCACCTGCTGTTGTCACAAGAACTTCTGTTGTGACAACAAATTGTTTTCTTATCTGGGTGGTTTTGCTATCCTAGAATACTGTCCCTTGAAGCCTGCCTCTGCAATTTTAAATAAAGCTGTTGAATCGACTTTTAGAGCAGGGGTCAGCAACCTTAAACATCCAAAGAGCCACAAAGGTCCTAACTGAAAGCCGCCCCCACCCCCAGTTTAATTCTAGAGCCAACCCAAAGTCCAGTTCCCCCACCATAGAGTCTCCTCCTATCGCGGCATTCTTTTTCCTCTATCTGTCCTAACCAAAAGCCTTACCAATTGTCGAACCGACTGACGACAGGGAGCCGCAGCAGAGGGATGAAAGAGCCACATGCAGCTCCAGAGCCGTGGGTTGCTGACTCCTGTTTTAGAGCAAGGGTGTCAAACTGGTGGTCTGCAGGCCGGATGCGTCACATGCAGGCCTTGTCCACACCAACTCTGTGAAGGGGGGGGAAGTCATGATACGTCACATGACGGCAATGTGACGAGTTTGACACCCGTGCTTTGGCGCATCAATCAGGTGCTCATGTCCATCAACGATTTTTTTTATTGGCCGCACAGCTGTGCTTATTCTCTCCTATATATAGGAATCAAATAGAGATGAATGAATAAAATCTGAATTATCACTACAAAATTCATGCTCTCCCCTCCCATACAGCTGACAAGGAGGAATCTAGTGCAGAAAAAAATATGCCTTGATAAATGTTTTCATCATTAAAATGCCATCAGATTCTTCATTGTTTTCTCTCCAAAGAATGTATTTGGAGTGTCTCTCTTTCAAGATGGATGTGTCGGGCTCAGAAGGGCACATGGAGTGTTATACATCACAAAGGAATTTCTAATGTAACGTGCAGATCAGATAAATGACACTCCAACTGATCTGAGCGTTATTTAATAGTTTTACATTTGGATGGCTGACACCCTGTGTCCAAAATTGTATCAGTGAGGTACAATTTTGAATAAGCATGCATATTACTGGCCTCTAAGCCATCAGGTAGGTAGGTTGGTAGGTAGGTAGGTATTTATTTGTCAACAAGTACAAGGAAACAAGTATGAAAACACATGAAAAAATGGCACAAATAAATGGATATGAATAAGCAAAACAGCCATAAACACATACAAAGAGTACATTTAAATCTGGACAGAAGGACAGTAGAACAGGGACGGTAGACATGCTGGTGCGCTGTATGGATAGATGACAGAGAGAGACAGACAGACAGACAGAAAAGAAAGATTCAGGACGGTAAAAAGTCCTTCAAGTTGTTATGCCATAATACTGACAAATCCTTGTAAAGACAGTTTGGCAATCAGTTTACATGGAGCGCTGTAAACATGGGATATATTTCGGTCATAGACTCAGATCTGCATTTTATTGAGAGAGAATATAAATTCTCCATTTTAACAGCGCGATCAGTGAAAAAGAATATCAGTATATTTTTTTTCTTAGGAAGAAGCAGGAAAACAGAAAATCAGAATTGACGATTTGGTTTTTCTTCAGTTCTCCTGAACATCCTGATTTTTATGGTGCAGCTAGATCAGAATTGTTCTGTAACTTCAATTTGGTATATGGCCCCTTGATTCTGGTATCAGCTCTAAGGGATTTCTCATTCTTTTATGTCACTTATGCCGTCTTTTCTGGTCTCCTGGAATATACATATGGATGTTTTTGGCTGTGGTTTGTTCTCCAAGCTTGTTTTCAATTTAGTTTCTGTACATTTTGTTACCAGACTAGGTAACATCATCAGCAGTATTTTCTTGTCCTATTCCCCTTAACTTATAAATGTCTTGTGCGTGACAGTTTGGTCAGTTGCTCGTGTGATTGGCTGTCTGTTTGGAGCTATATTTAAATTCTGAGCAGCTGATTGGTTCTCTTGTTGGTTGTTTGAATGGTCTGGTTTCTTACGTATTCATATGTTGGATCTAGATCAGGGGTGTCAAACTCAATTTTATTGAGGGCCACATCAGGGATGTGGTTGATCTCGGGGAGCTGAATGGGCATGGCCAACTGGGTGGGCATGGCCAACTTGACACCACTTCCCAAATTCCTGGCATGTTTCCTCTTCGCACTGGATAGACCGGGCCGAAGCCATGCTGACGCAATGTTTCAATACAATACAATAGCAGAGTTGGAAGAGACCTTGGAAGTCTTCTAGTCCAACCCCCTGCGTAGGCAGAAAACCTATACCATTCCAGATAAATGGCTATCCAACATCTTCTTAAACACTTCCGTGTTGGGGCATTCACAACTTCTGGAGGCAAGCTGTTCCACTGATTAATTGTTCTGTCAGGAAATTTCTCCTCAGTTCTAAATTGCTTCTCTCCTTGATTAGTTTCCACCCATTTCCTCTTCGCATTGGGTAGACCGGGCCAAAGCCATGCTTTCCAGCATGGCCCCACAGGCCAGATCCAATCACATCGGATGACACCCCCTATCTAGATCAATATGCTTGTTAATTACTCCTTTGGTAGAATACCGGGCTTCAATAAATTCACATGTGTGGCGGGTGTTGGCATAGCCAATAATTTTTGTTCCTTCTTAACCAAATTGATGTTATTATATACCGTATTTTTGGAGTATAAGACTTACCCCCCTCCCAAAAAAATTGCATGGAAATGCTGATGTGTCTTATACACTAAATACAGCCAATTTTTTGCCTCCTGAAGCCCCACCACCGCATCCCATTTTTGCAAAAAACGGGCTGGTTTTTTTTTTTGCAAAAATTGAGATGTTTTTGCCTTCCCCCAGCCCCCAAAAGCACCATGCAGGCTTCAGTAGTACAGGGGGAAGGCAAAAACGCCTCTGATTTTGCAAAAAAAATGGTCCACAGCCCTGCTGAAGCCTGCAGAGTGCTCCTGGGGGCCGGGGAGGACAAAACCCTTTTTTCCCTACTTACATCTTAGAAATCTTGGTGTGTCTTATACACCAGTGCGTCTTATAGTCCAAAAAATACAGTGCATGTTTTATTCACATTTTGCTTCCCCCACTCCCACCCTATTTCAGTAAATCTGGATTTACACAATTGCACTTAAGCAGTTTTGTTCCAATTCCGGGCAGTTTTGAGGTGTGTTAGTTTGATTTATGCAAGGGAATCACCAGGGAAAAAAATGTAAAAGAGCCATATTTAGCATCTAGAAACAAAATTGTGTACACAGGAATCTAATCAAATGGGTGGAATGAATTGATGTACTGGTGTTTGCATAAACACCTTTGATCAGGAAAGTGGGAAGACAGGATAAGTGAGAAGTGAGACAGTTTTGTACTTCTGCACAGATGAATCATTAGAAGATGCCTATCTCTTTCCCGAGCAATATTATGAGCTTTAGGACAAGAGATGACTCTGAAGTAGAACAGAAAACAGGGACTCTAACCCATCAGAATAATTGCCAGAGGCAAATGACATGGAACTACTGCTCCTCTGATTGAATGCTTAGATTTGCTGTGTCTTGTTATTTACATCCTAAGGTGGACGTAGAAATATTTAAAGAGTGTACATGCTGATTCATATCTCCTGATGCGTACGTAGTAAAAATGACTGCAGTTTAAACAGAAATGCAATGCAACATGCCCCTGTGGAAATGGTAACCGTGTAGATGCTCATAATGAAGGGGCTGCTAAAACTATTTTACAGGTCTTTTATACTGCATGAGATGGGCTTTTAGCAGAGGATTCTTTAAAACAATAACAATAGCAATAGCACTTAGACTTATATACACTTCACAGTGCTTTACAGCCGTCTCTAAGCGGTTTACAGAGTCGGCCTCTTGTCCCCAACAATCTGGGTCCTCATTTTACCCACCCTGGAAAGATGGAAGGCTGAGTCAACTTTGAGCCTGGTGAGGTTTGAATTGCCAAATTGCAGGCAACCGGCAGGCAGCAGAAGTAGCCTGCAGTACTCCACTCTAACCACTGTGCCACCGTGGCTCATGCACTACTGTAGCTCATTAGAACCCAGTAGAGCTCATGACCAACATATTGAGCTGCTCTCGGGTTCTTGTGTGTTCATTAACACTACATCCCAGGCCATAAGGATGCTCAAATTTAAAACATTAAACAAAGTGTTCTACTAGAGTTGTGGGTCAGTAGATGATTTGCACGGCAGTTTTCTAAAATGCCAATTTTCTTTTAGTACATTATTTTCTTCTGCATGTAGCTTTTATGTTCCATTGTGTTTAAATTTTCCATCATTCCTTTTTCCTTTAGGTTTGCTGGAAAGGGTGGGGGATAATCAACCTTTTGTTTTCTGTTTATTACCATCATCACTGTCATGTCATCCTCATTTTCTTTTCTTTTTTTTTCTTTAACTTTTTCCCTCTAACAGATAAAAGATTTGTAAGCGAACCCAAAACTCACCGTAAGTCTCCATTTCATAGTCATTTATTTTCATTGTTCTGCATTCAAGTGATAATATTGTGTGGGTTTGTTTTTTTAAAAAAATAAGAGTTTCTATTTCCCCGATGCCAGGGCACACCTGAAGAAGTTCTATTGAAGGAATAGTTCTTCATAGCTAGAGAGGATCAAGAGGGACAAATACAATTGAAGGAAACCTTGGAGATGCAACCATAAAATAAGTCCATCCAGAGGCCCAATGAATTTTGCAAAAAGCGAACTTGATTTATTTTTAAGAGTCAAAGCAATTTTACTTTAAATTTGGTAGCTGAGATACAATAGTTTTCACCTCAGTATTAAAATTCAATTATTAAAAGCCAGGCCTCAGAAAAAAAGAGAAACACATAAGTCTCTTGCCTTCAAGATTTCCCAAAATACTCACTTTAATAATTCAAATCTTTGGTTCCTTCATTTATTAAAAAGGTGATAATAATGCTCCAATTAACTGCTGAGTAAAAGGAGAAGGATCTATTACTGGGGCCATGATTGCAAAACTACTGGTATGATTGAGGGGAACTAATTAGTCTTAATTATATTTGCACTATTTATAATTATAACAGGATTAGCTGGACATCTCTCTTTGAGATTAGAGAAAGGCGTCCCACTGTGGAGGAGAAAATCTACCATCTGGAGTTTTTTTTCTTCTAGTTCTGTGCCATTTTCTGGAAAAATCCTTCATTGGGCAAAACATGGAGTATGATAAAGACCTGAATCCTAAGTGGTTCTAAACTAATTTTCTTCTTTTTCTTGCAAAAACATGACTGGAAGGCTGAAGAGGTCTGTTCTGTCCTTGGCTTCCCAAGAGCAGAAAGCAAACTCTTTCTCCTGACAAAACCCCCTTTTATTAACTGACTGTGAATTCTGCTTATTCACATCCAACAAAGCCTTTCAAAGGAGGATTTACAGTCACAGACCTTATCTGGCTTGGAGAGCTGNTTAGCGTTTACAGCGTGCTTCTGTCTCCGCGCTGTTGTCGCCCTGTTGATGACATCAGCTACGCGGTTTAGTCGAGCGCGGTTTAGTCGAACGCAGTTTTGTGGTGGAACCCTGATTGTCAGACCGGTTCACCTTACATTGCTGTAATGCCAACTTCCTTAGATAAGTTTTAATAGATAAAGTGCCTCTTTTTTCTATGTATCAGTTTTCCTAGGAGAAATTTGTGTCATTGCTGCAGAAAAAAAAACCCTCAAGGCAAATCCATATATATGGAATGCCTCAAGCAATTTCAACCAAACTTGGTATACAGATGACTTACTATCTGGAGACAAATACTATTGGGGGGGGGAGGTAAGACACCCCAACATCCCTCGGGGTGTGTGTTCTGTTAAGATACAGCCTGTTGTGCCTTACATGGATTCTACTGTACTGTTGTAAAATGGCCTCTACTGTACAGCACAGTGAAGTTGCTATGGTAATGGCTTCACAGTGCTCCACAAGGGGACTCTCTCTGGTAAGGGGGAAAATCCAACATTCGAAATTTGGTCTGGACATTTTCCCCCTATAACTAAATACCCAGGCAATGCCAGATTATTGGCTAGTATGAAATAAAATAGCTCCTTTCAACCTGATGTCCCGAGTACGTTGGACTGAAGACCCCATCATCATAGCTAACATTATGAAGGAAAATGTAACCTAAAATATCTGGAAGGCAGCAGATTAGAAAAAGGCCAGCGTACAGTAAATAACTGCAGGCTAGTTCATTGCATCAGATTCAGATTCCATCTGATGAAATGGAAAAGTCCCAAAAATAATTCTGACATGATCAATATGTTAGCACTGAAAGATTCTAAGAACGCTGCTACGTTTTCTGTGTCTGAGAAATATTATAAGATAGGAATTAGGTGTTTTAGTAATTAATGAAACATATGCTTGAATATGCTGTTGGCATAAATTCTATGAAATGGATAAAGTTAACAGATATACAATTGAATATTTAGTAGCTTGTTTAACTGATCAAAGCAAAAACTGCCAGTAGAGCATCACCCTTTCTACTCTTCGCTGTTTTATGGCAACAAATTTATTATTGTCCATAGCAGTGGTAATCAAAGTTCAGTATTGATTTACTATTTAGGCAAGGTTCCCCCCCCCCCCCGCTAACTCATTACCAAGATGAAAATAGTTGCGGTTAATTTAACGTGTGCTTTCTTATTATATTACATTTTCCTTTATTGAAAATGCTTACAGGCTATTAAACATTTTTCTGCCTTCATTTTCAGATACCCCCCAGCTGCTCCACCCTTCAGTGCAGCCTGATCTAACTGCCAACGCCGGTGTATACCGTGGTCCTATGTATGCCTTGCAAGATTCCTCTGACAAGATCCCCATGACCAATTCTCCGTTGCTCGATCCGCTCCCTAATCTCAAGATCAAAGTGTATAATTCCTCCACAGCATCCTCCTCCACTGGGATGCATGAAGGAGCAGACCTGTTAGGAGCCATGCCCCCAGGCTCCTTCCCAGGGGACACTCACAGGGATAACCATTTCATGAACCTAAGAAACAAAAGCATGGGCTCCCAGCAGCTGCTAACTCTGCCTCGAGATCCTGGGAATAGTGCCACGGGGACATTCGGCTGCCTGGGAGGAAGACTCGTCATCCCTGGCACAGGTATGTAAGGGAATACATTTTTCGCCAGATGGACATTCAATCCAGTGATGAAGCCACACTCCAAGAGTACCGGTATAGGAGAACAGGCTATTTCAGAGCCATGATGTCAGGCCTGGAAGCCCTCTTTTGCATTGGGCCTTCAGGCCTGCCACATTTCATGCTGTGGGAAACTGCGATTGTATGGAGCTGAGGATATATATAGTCACAACAACATTCCAGAATGTTAAGGACATTCTGCCCTGCACCTGGAGGGGTGTGACTGAGAGGCATCTCCAATTGGGACGGTGCTTGGATTGGACCATGTGATGGGCATGTGGGTGCTGGGCAGGGGCTTGGACTTTTATTTGGGTGGGGAAAACCTGAAAACTTTCAGATTCTGGTTTCCCCAGATGTGCCAATATGACATCTCTAGTAAAATGGAACTTCGAGGAACTTCGAGCCTCGGATTCTTATTTTGGGGGTGTTGCTTGGAAACCTGGCACATGCATTGATTAGTTATGGGACATAAAGTCAGTTATAAGGTTTCCTCTGCCCTGTCATGTGTGACTCTAAGGCGGGGGTCTGCCTTTAAGCATGGAGGACTTCAACTCCCAGAATTCCCCAGCCAGCGCGCCAAACCAGCAGTAATGCCGGCAGCAACCCACTCCTGACTAGCATATACTGTATGTGCGAGGGGAACCTTTACTTTAGTTCAAACTAGCTCATGATTGACCTCAGACAGACACTGAGAAGACAATTGTTGGGATTATTTAAGTCATTGCAAGAAGTTCAGCAAAAGATCTTTGACTGCCAGATAGTTAAAAATAGCTTCCTCCATTCCATGGACTTTTTTTCAAATAGATTGGAAAAAATAAATGACCATGTACAGCATTAAATGTTATGATAAAAATATTTATACCAGAGGCATCCTTCTTAAAGATAATTAGGACAGTGTCTATAGTCACCATCAAAGATGTAGCTACTAAAACAATTGTTAAGCCACATTCATTTTTTCAGAATAATTAGACATAGTTCCAGTGGTGGGATTCAGCCAGTTCGCACCTATTCGGNTTCAAGTTGCCAAGGTTGAAAAACACTGATCTAGTCCAACCCTCCTCCAGCAGGACATTGTTAAAGTGAGTTTCTGTCTTTTGACCTCCCCAGACACATGACTACATAGCCACGCCCTCCCAGTCACATGACCTCCCCCCCCCCCAAAGCCATACAGAAATGGTAGTAAAAAAATGTAGATTTCACATTGCCTGCCTTCCTCTCTGTTGGGCTGCCAACTCACACGCAAGGCTCTGAATTCCTTTCCCAAAATACCATACTGATGGGTCATGTCTAGCTAGAAAAATGAATAATAGGAATATATTCAGTTCTACGTATATCCTTGAAAACCACAGGTAGTCCTTGACTTACAACAGTTCATTTAGTGACAGTTCAAAGGTAGAAAGGCACTGCAAAAAGTGACTTATGACCATTTTTCCACATTTACCACTGTTGTAGCATCCCCATGGTCACTTGATCAACCTTCTGACAAGCAAAGGCAATGGGGAAGCCAGATTCACTTATCAAGCGTGTTACTAACTTAACAACAGTACTGATTCGCTTAACAACTGTGGCAAAAAGGGTCGTAACATGGGGCAAAACTCACTTAACAAATGTTTCAGTTAGCAACAGAAATTTTGGGCTCCACTGGGGTCGTAAGTCGAGGACTACTTGTAAAGGTTCCCTTCGCACATTATGTGCTAGTTTTTTCCTGACTGTAGGGAGTGGTGCTCATCTCTGTTTCAAAGCCGAAGAGCCAGCGCTGTCCGAAGACATCTCCATGGTCATGTGGCCAGCATGACTAAACGCCGAAGGCGCATGGAACGCTGTTACCTTCCCACCAAAGGTGGTTCCTATTTTTCTACTTGTGTTTTTACATGCTTTTGAACTGCTGGGTTGGCAGAAGCTGGGACAAGTCATGGGAGCTCACTTTGTTACGTGGCGCTGGGGATTCAAACTGCTGAACTGTTGACCTTTCTGATCGATAAGCTCATTGTCTTAGCCACTGAGCCACTGCATCCCTCTATCGACTACCTGCAATAGGAACATATTCAGTTCTGTGCATATCCTCCAGAACTATATTTCACTTAAATTTTCAACCAGATTGAATTCAACAAAATCCCAGTAGAGAATCCAACCAAGCTGTGGGCTTTCTTCCTGTAAGATTTTTTTCCTCTCTTAACTTGGGTCTTTTCCCCTTCCTCCTTCCCCTGATTTTTCTCTTGGCCACCAGTTACTTGTTGATAGCTTACAGGGCATCCGCCAGCCCTCTTTTTTGCTTTGTGGGAATTGGAGTGTTCCTGTCTGCCCTGCCCTTTGCCAATCCCTGAGGGGAATTTTCCACAGTGGCTGCTCTCGGAGGCTATAAAAGACCAAAGCATGTGCTCTTAATTGAATGTGCAGCATAAAAGATGTAATTGGTTCTGCTTGATGGGGATCCAGCACAGAATAATTTTCATCATTATTAATTTAGGGCTTTCCCCCCTTCCTCTAAAGCCCATCAAAAATCAAATGAAGGGTTAGTAAATACTAATGCCGTTCAAGTATCCTGCGAGGTTTCGCGGATATCGGATAGATTTGGGGCCGTGTCCCAAGACTTTTACGCTCTTCGTCCCTTACCTGTCTTTATTCCCTCTTCCAAATTCTGTGAAGCCTGAAGAGCCATTCCTTAGCTCTATGATGGCAAACCTATGGCACGCGTGCCTGAAGTGGCACACAGAGCCATGTTGCCTGGCACACTTGGCGTTGCCCGTTCTTCTTCTAAGTTTCTGGTGTGCATGCACGCATGACAATCAGTTGGCCTTTCTGGGTATGGCAGTGCCAAAACCTGGAAGAGCTGGTCTTCCATTTTCTGGTGTGATCATGCGTCCATGTGCATGGACTCCAGTAATCAGACGACTAGCTGGGCACTGCACATGAGCGCACTGGAAACCGGAAGTTCATTTTCTGGCACGCGCATTCCCCCTGGGCAGCTCCTATTCCAGGTTGCGTCCCAGATGAGCGTGCATGCACGCCCTTTTTGGCACTTGGTGCTGAAAAGGTTTGCCATCACTGCCTTAGCTCATGGACAGGGAACATGTGGCTACAGATGTTGCTAAACCTGAACGCCCTCTTCATTATTGGAAAGAGGGCAAGTTGTACTCAGCAACATCTGGATATTACAGTTTCACCCCATTGATCACTATCATATTCTTTCTTCCATTCCCACATTTTTATTTCTTTCATTGGATTTTAAGATTGGCATTCTTCAATGTAGGTCCATGCATCGTGATGCTATGTTGATCTGTAATTTAGTATAAAGTCTTCCTGACCGCACCCAAGCAGTGTAAAACATGGTTTCAAGAAGACGTTTCCCATCACCACTTTCTGGGCTCTTTGATTTATTTGCATTATTGGCAACTGTTCTACAGCCAGATTTCCTGCTGGGCGTTTATGTAGACATTAAATGAGTTTGACCCTGGTTAGCTTTGCAAAATCAGCCAAGATGACTCGTTAGTTGCGAAGTCATTTCTGACCCATCATGACCCCTCCAGGCCTTCCTGCCCTCTACCATCCTCCGGAGTCCATTTAAGCTCACACCTACTGCTTCAGTGACTCCATCCAGCCACCTCCTTCTCTGTCGTCCCCTTCTTCTTTTGCCCTCAATCCTTCCCAGCATGAGGCTCTTCTCCAGCAAGTCCTTCCTTCTCATTAGGTGGCCAAAGTATTTGAGTTTCATCTTCAGGATCTGGCCTTCTAAAGAGCAGTCAGGGTCGATCTCCTCTAGGACTGACCGGTTTGATCGCCTTGCAGTCCAAGGGACTCGTAGGAGTCTTCTCCAGCGCCATAGTTCAAAGGCCTCAATTCTTTGGCGCTCAGTCTTTCTTATGGTCCATACATTGGAAGTGGGTAAACCATAACCTTGACTATGCACACTTTTGTTGGCAGGGTGATGTCTCTGCTTTTTTGTATGCTGTCTAGATTTGCCATAACTTTCCTCACCAGGATCAAGGGTCTTTTAATTTCTTGGCTGCAGTCCCCATCTTCGGTGATCTTGGAGCTTGACTACCTGATGCCATTTGGTTGAGCATATATATCATAATAACATTATAGTAAATATTATAAGGGCACACTGCAGGAAGACGATTACATGTCCTTACCAGCATTACTCATAAATATATACAACCTCTAAGCTACCTGATCTGTATTTCACCTTGCAGTGAGACTGGTGGACCGAGGAATTAACTTTAGTAACAGTTAATGATGGAAACCAGACAGGAAAGTTCCTCCATACA